ATGTCACACCATTCCTACTCACCCTCAAATGAATGACCCAATGAATGAAAGCATAATTTGCATATAGGTTAGGCCAAGGGAAAAGAAATTTGTGATTTGATACCAAAACCCTGGCAGTCAAAAATCCACGAATATATTACAAGTTTGACATGGAGAAGGTCAAGTGCCATCGCTTTTAGAACACCATAAATCCACATTTTATGATAAAAGTATAGTCTAAAACAATCGAATACAAATAAGCCTATTAACTAGAGCTAGTAGAGTGGCTGCCTCCCCATATCCATCCAAACATCACTGCTTAGGATAAATTCCTTATTTGATACCAGCATAGGAATAGAGCCACCGTTTGTGATGGAGGAATAAAAAGTAATTGCAACCCAATGTTTGCGTTGGGACTATTGTAGTAGGAAAAATTCACCACCCCTCATCCAAGCTCACTCTAGCTAATACCTACAAACAAACTCAATGAAACACAAATCTAACAATGTTACCAAGTCCACCACAAGCCTTTTGGATCACGATTAACACAATGTAGCAAATGCAAGAGACAAGTGATACTCTCTGTAGGGGGCCTCAAAATTTTGAAATAGTGAAAGAGGAATGTTTTCCAGTAAATTGGTCCTCAATTTGCTCACATAGAATCGTAAAATGTAAAACCTTAACCGATGCTGATATAGATTTAAAGTGAGCACACCTAACAAGTAGTAATCCCTGTGTTACTGCAGAGAATTACCTCAAATATGAACAGGCACAAATCTCCAAGCAGCTTTGTCCTTCAAGGCCATCTATAATCACTTTATCTTTCTAAGAGTATTAACATAAGTATAACTGGAAAAAGAAACAAAAAGCTTGCGGAACCTGCAAAACCAACATTGAAAAAATTAAGAAAAAATGTTTCGAAATATATACCATACACGCTACACTATTCCAGAAAGAAAGAAAATGTTGAATCAAGGAGATGATCCACAGACCTATAACAGGGAATTGATTATGATTAATCTAGGAGTTATATTCATAAAGAAACACATGAAAGTCAATTTCAAAAATAAAATGAGAAGAAATGGAGGTGATTAATTTTCAAGACAAAATGATTGGTCATCTGGCCCATGTCCTATCCTTTTCATTTAGAATTTATTGGGAACATACATACCAAACCCATTGGCTTGAGTGTTGTGCCATTGCAAGGAAGCTCTTCCGTGGATGCTCATTAAGCAAGCAATGCATTACACCCCTTGGATGTCGCATGGAATCTAAATTTGACAACCAAATGTCAAGTGGTCCACTATACTTGCGCAATATGTTGATGCTCACCTAAAAACAAAAAGGGCAGAAGGAAAGAACTGTCATCATTCAGAGGAAAAAAAACCTTACAAAGAATATAATATGTCAAATCATGTTATGCAGAAATATTTATTTAAGGCCACTGCAAATTTGTTCACAGGTTCTTTCCTTTGCCCTGGCTAGATGCAACAACTTTGCCAACAGCCTGTAACTTCTACAGCAACTCGACAAGAAAATCATTGGATTAGAATCCAGAGAACAACGAAAGAAAGTAGTTTCGACTCGAATGTAGATCATATGAAAGAGGAGAGGAGAAGAGACGAGAAAGAGAGTTCAAGAGTGGCAAAATTAATGCTAGTAAATCTTCGATGATGCAAAAATTAGTTAGGTAAAATTGTATAAGAATTGAAAGCAATGTTGTTTTTCAGGAAGGAAAAGCTTGTATACAGCCATGTCAATGTGGACCAGAAGCAGATGCAAGATCTAAACCAGAAACTATTCGTGTTCACCTCTTCTTGCCATATTGCCATTTAACCTTTATGATCAGCCATGGATTAGTATTAAATAAAATTTTCAGGGGGTTACCAAAAAAGGAAATGAGGACATATCAAAACCCTGAAATGCTTTGAACCAAATTAGCACCCAAAAAAATAACTATAATGAAAAATGGAAAAAAGCATTTGGCTGAGCTGATACCACCTTTAACAGGATACGTAAAACAAATGGTAGAAAGGTAACTTACAAGTTCCCAGGCTTCAATATTTCTAGGTAAAGAATCATGCAAGAACTTGCTGTGCATACAAGACAAAGAAAATTAAAAAAGAATTCAGAAGACATTTTATTGTGATAAACATTATCAAAATGATAGCTTAGAAATGGCCAAGAAAAGATTATGCATGCACGAGAATGATTAGAGGTGATAGATAATTTCCTCCTAAGCATGCAAAGAACTTTCTCAAGTTCATGCAGTCACACCGATGGTCAGACTGAATGACTCAAAGATGTGTACTTTCACCAGACATACATTAAATAAAAATTTTCACTAACTGAAAGTATGGAATTTGATATTCACTAGGGTTTTAGGGTTTGTCCTCCATTAAACAGAGGTTATTTTCCTTCGTTTCCCTGCATGAAAGTGAGGCCTCAATAGAACATTGGAAATTATTGCTGTCCTATTGCATAATAGGTTGATTACATGGCAGGTTGCCCTTAAAATCTAGACTTTTCCATTGGCCATACTCTAAAATGGGCTTGGGGACCAGACACAATGGTCAGAGCAAAGCTAAAAGCAGATGATTAAAGATCCTAAGTGAGATGTTTCCCATGAAGCTTAAGAAGCTGACAAGTATCCAGACATCTCCCTTACTTGGTCTTCCTAGGAGAGACACTAATGATAATCACTTTCCGAAACAACTAATACTGCCCATGTTTCCACACATCTCAGACACATTACTAAGCATACAGTTTCTTCTCGGCCATTCCATATTTTAAGCTCTCCTCTTGCTTGAGACGTGAACCCAAGCGCTACAGAAAGCCCATTATGCTTCATTTGAAGAGGCAGCTTTAGGAACTCTTCGGATTGTTGTATCTTTCACATATTTAGAATCACTCTCTAGATATGCCATTCTTTAGTTCTACACTAATTTCTCTCTTGCAATCCAGACTGTTTTACTTTTCCATCTCATTAATTTCATGCAAGACACTAACAAAGATAGTCCAAAGAGTTCTTTTGCAGTTACGCCAGCCTAGCAAGTTTTGGAAAACTATCTTTGAATTTCTGCTACTTAGCTTAAAAATGAAACTTCATCATAAGTAGAAAGAGAAATAGGCCACATTCCCCCATCCTGCTCCCTTTTTCAATATAAATTTGACAAAAAGGCCAGGTTCTAAAGCATGATATAACACATGGACTATATCTAGAGAAGCATTCTATTTATGAAAAAATTGCTAGAGTCTAGAGGACCAGATACGGGAAGAATAAATCTAAGCCCTTGTAAATTAAGACCTCACAGCATTAAATAGTTACATGATGACATTAGTACATTTGATTTTATATTAACGCCACACATACTATGAGGCAACTTTGTATGTTTATGCCACATATGCTATGAGGCAACAATTTAAAAAGTTCACTTCTGCACAATTGAATCAAACAATATAAAATGTTTTAACTTACCGTACCCCATAATGCACATCACCATGGTTGCAATGACCAGAAACACCATAGCCATCAAATGTAATAAGCTGAAAAATAAATAAAACTGGGATAAGAGACATAGGAAATGAGAGACCTATATTGTACACAGATGTGAACTCGCAAGTAGTAACAGAAACCTATCCCTTCAAACGATGCTTATCACTCTCCAATACAAGCATATCTTAACCTAAAATTGGAAATTTTATACAGTAATCTCAGCTAAAATATCAATTTAAACGAAAAAAAGGAGCCAAGAATATACCACGTCAATGCCATGACTGTAGGCCTCCTCTTCAATGATCTTTGCCAATAAATCATGGTTCCAGACATGGCCAAAGCCATCCTGATATAAAAAATCAGATTACAAAATCAATTCCTCTTAAGTCATCTTATCAATTAACAACTGATTCATCTTTAGGTGATACTGGTGCTATAGCTGGTCAAACAAGTTTTTATTTCGTTAGTTACAGGTGAAAAAGTCTCAATTTAGTTTCCCAGCTTCAAACATGCCAAATTTTGAATAGAAAGTCCAAACAATAATGTGCTCAAAATAAAGAGCCTTAAGAGTATAACCTGCAAATCCGGGTGGTCAAAAACCTTCACTTGTTGAAGTTGAACCTGCATTTACAAATTTAAAATGGTTAAAAGCTGTGTAAACATGAATAGATAAAGTTGAAAACTGTGAAGATGACACAACATGCAAGGTTAACTTGTAGCTGGATCAACCCAGGATCAGGTTGTTGCAGGAACAATCCATCGATTACTTAAACAGTTAAACCCAACTAAGCTTGCATGAAATTAGAACACCTTGTGGACTGCACAAGCACGATAGAGCTCATCTTTTCTAATGCTTCCAATGCCATCTCCATTACCTGCATAAAGAAAATTAAGTAAGAATAACAGCAAATTTTCACATAATCACATGGGTGTGGGAAGAGGAATACTTACTTTGTAGAACACATGACAAGGTTTCTCATGACCCCTACCATATTCCTTTCCTTTTGAAAGGACATGGATGGTGGCTGGACATATAATCCATTGGTGATACACAAAAATTCCCACTTGGCAAAGGAAAATGGATTAACCAACCATAAACTAAAAGCAAAGAGAGGTGAGAATAGCACTGAAAGGAGAAGCTATCTCTCTCCTGAGGTATTTACTTAGCTAGATTACACTATTATCGCCAAATTAATATTCCCTGAAGTAGCAATATGAACAAAACAACCAGTGAAAGAGGTTGATTTCGAATTCACCGTCTGTTAATAGCTTACAGTTTTAGATCTACCCTTAAAGTTCTTTAAAAGCTTAAGGTCCTTGAATGATAAGATAAACATTCTCTAGGGATACCATCCTTGGCCTTCAAGCCTTACATTTAGCATCCAAACTGCATTAGTAGCAAAATTTGAGAATAAGAGGCATCTTTTGATTATCAACGGACTCTATAATATATTGCACTTCAGCAACTATGATCCTATAGTTTCTCCTTTCATAGAAGAACTTTTAGCAACAAAAAAAGCAGATATTAAGGAAAAACTCAAAATCACCTAAATGATGTTACTTTGTTTCTCAGCATAACACAGCAATAAATCATTATCTAGTCAGATTTTACAGAAGTAAACCAATAAGAAGCCCCCTCAACATACCCTTGATTCTTGATGACAATGAACATTTACTTATATGGGGATTAAGGATGGCATCATTTGCAGTGAAAAAAGATTCAGAAGCAAAGATTTCTAGACCCAAGGAATACTAAAAGGAAAAAGGATCAGGCCACATAAGGCTGGAAATGCATTACCGACAGACAAGCATAATAGGTATAGATTGTGCCCTCTTGAAGTCAGGTAGCTTATAGTTGGTGAAAAGAACCTGCAACAGAATACAAAAACACACACCATCAGAACGAATTGATCCAAGTAACATTAAATGCATCATAAATAAAACCATCTCAACAAAAGTCAAGTTGTCACTTGGATGACAAACTATATACGTGGGAATAAATTAAATCAAATAAAAAATGTAGAAATGGAACTGTACAAATATCATGAACAAATTCACTGGAAAATCCATTTATGCCTCTACAGAATAAAGGACTTGCAAACTATACATGAAACCTATATCGGATGAAACAAGTATTTATTATCCTTCACAGAATAAGCAGAAGACATTCCAGTACTCAGAAAGAAACTGTCATTTGATTCTGGAAGAAAAGAGAAAAGCAAAAAAGCGCGTATTGTTTAAGAAGCAACAAAGTGAAAAGCCAGTTCATTCTAAATTTCTAACACGTGGGAAAATGAAAGAGGGTTGAAAAGCTTACATGGACTCATCATCAGGGTGAGCAACTACGAGCAAGACATTTCTCTTGCGAGAAGCTGGACCTGGATTGAATGGGCAAATACATATTAACTGATATATAAACATACTCTTCGATCCAAAATTTTTATATAAAAAAAAAAAACAGCTAAAAATTGGACCGACCATCCTCCAAAAATGTGGGTTTAGAGTGGGAAGAGGGAGCAAGGAAAATCTTGCAAAGAGAAGCTACCCAGACCACTAAAATTGAAACGATGATCAAAATCCATCCCATCTAGAATCCACCTCGAGAGAAAAAAGAAAAGATGAAGGAAAAGAAAATACAAAAATAGAAAGGAATCCGGCCGTTGACAAGCCTCGCCGGGGAGGGAAAGAACGAGAGAGTTTGGAAGGCGTTGCGGGAGAAAAATGCTCTTCGAACAGAAACGACGTCGCTACATGTTATAAAAGAGTGAAACGAGGACAAGATAGTGGGCTGTTCAGCCCAAAACTGCAAGCAGTCAAGTCCAGTAAAGGCCCAACTAGATAATTTATTTTTGTACCAAGGCCCAGCCAGAAAATGGGAGGAAAAAAATATTAAAATGCTAAATATTTGTCAAGGTTATGTTCAGAATTATATTTGATAATTAAACTTTTTTTTTATAATTTGAGGAAGGGGGGATTCAAATCTTACTTTTTAAACAGATAGATAATGCATCAATTAATTAATGAACCAAATACTTTGATGCATTTGATAATTAAACTTGATTTTTGTAATAATTTATAATTGAAAATAAAATCTGCTTTATATTCATTGAATAAAATAATAATTTAACTTGCTTTTCCGTTTAATTAATTGTTGAAAATAAGCATTGCTGAAATATCATTGTATAGATTTTTTGAAATGAGAAAAATTCTTCTATTATTTATCAAAGGTATTAATGAGAATATAAACAGAAAATTA